TAATGAAACATTTGCAAGAAAACAACCAAGCTCAGAGAACCCCAAGGACTCCACAGTTCAAAAATATTTGCCTTTATTGAGACTACTAAGAATTATAATTTAGCAAGGGAAAGCTTAAAGAATTCCAATAGTTTGACCACTCATAGCCTACTAAGCCACAATAAAACAATTACAATTATATTTTAGCCAGCAACATTATTTTGGGTACAGTATATGTATCATTTGATTTTCCCACTATGAATCCTAGTGAACTTGGTGAACTAGAAAGCAATGAGACCCATGACCATTCTTCTGATATAGGTTTAAGAGATTGTTATGGTTTATCTTGTAGACCAACATAGAGCCTGAATTAAAGTTGATATTTGCTCAAGCTGGTATAACACAAGATCATCTGAAGGACAAGAGGACTTCAAAAAAGATTTTTGAAACAATTGAGAAACAAGGGGGAATCCAAGCTGTATTAAAAGAGGCAAAAGCAAAAGGTATGCTCAGATAACTGTGTATAGCCATCAGCTGTTTTCTGTAAATACATGTAATGTTACTGCACAAATATTGCAGCCTCCAGTTGGTTTGTGTTTATGAGCTGTTTATAAATTAATGGGTAATATTCAACTACTTCCTTTTTTCCTATAGCATTTGTATAATTTCTTCCAAAGAGATTTCTTTAAGGGCACTTAAACAATATCTTCTTCAAACTGCATTCCTTCAGAGCTCAGATATCCTGAAAGTGAACATTGACAAAAGGCCTTGTTCAGCAGTGTTCTACTGGTTTATTTGGTTTTGAGGAAAGTGTGACCAAATATCTGTCTGTGTATATATAAAAAAGTGGATCTACAGTAATACATATGTGCACCTTGCCCTAATTGTTTGGGGATTGGCTATTGTGCTCCTTGCACCATATGAAGATATGATGTATGTATGTGCTCTGCTAAGACTTTATCACATGATCTAAAAATCCTTGGGTGTGAATCAGCACATTAGTTGCATTTGGAAACTTCCAGATATGCTTCTAAAATTATAATAGCCATTCTTCCACTGGCAGTATTGAAAGTTCTTTCAAGCTTCTTGAATATTGTCTGCACTAAAGGTTAAAGCTAGAGCAACAGTGCTATCAGAGAAAGCCCCCCCCCCCCGCAAACCACCTGGGATACCCATTGGGCCAATGTATGTTAAAATTCAGTTTCCTTTAAAAACATGTCCATGGGTCTTTCAAAGTACAAGTTGGCTTCTACAAGCATTAGCTGCATTCTATCCATGTGTTAGGTTCCTTGTCATGCATTACTAGGGGCATTGGGGGCTGAGACTTGAAGAAGCAGTCTTGTACACTTCCAGTAAACAGTGATTCTTCAGAGATGGTAGTTTCCAGTGTGGCCTTTTCAAAAAGCTATCCTAGAAAGTTCACTGCTCAGATCGAGCGAGACAGAACAGTATTTCTAAACCACAAATTGCTGCTAGCAGAGAATATCTGGATTTGATAGTTTTGAGGTGGCTTGCACGACATATTTAGCATGCACTCTTATTGTTTAAGTTAGTCCTGACTATGCAGCCATAAATGTAAGAACTTGAATATAAAATAGACACATGTTGAATAACTCCATTTATTAATAATGTATACCTCTACCAGGAAACAGAATTGCTCTTTATGCAAAAAGGTTAGTTTCACAAACCCCAGCTTAAGTAAACCAATGTATTGAAAATATAATTCAGTGGACTGAATTAGAGTTGAACAGGTGTGTTTTCATTTTATAGATTTATCTTTTCTCAGTCGAATCACTTGACTGCCCTCTGCTTTATTCTCCACGATACAAATCAAACCACTAAATAAATCAGCCTCATGAGCTGGGTTCCATTCTCAGGTGCACAAAGGAGCTATGTTGCCGAACACCTAGCTGCGCCTTCCTCCATTTCAGAATCGCATGGATTACTCTGTAATGAAGTCCTTCCTCCCTCCCTTCCTTCCATAGTCATATCTCAAGTATCCTGCATGTCTCCTTCCAAAAGGACATCCCACCATAATTTGATCCAAAGCCTGAAGGAAGAGCATCTGAAAAGAGCACATAGTGACTATCACCTAACTCCTATCAGCCAAGAAGCTCTAATTTGTCAGATCAGAAAAGGAACACCATTAAAACCAGTAATTATCTTCTTTTTTTTTTTAACTCTAGGGTCCACTTTAGTTTAAGGTTAACGCCAAAAGTAATTTTGGAATTAAATTTGACAGGAACCTCAGACATGGAGTGTACTGTACAGCCTAAATAGTATTTTCTGTTAAAGGAGAAATGTTAACTGATTAGATCAGTGTTTCTCAACCTTGGCAACTTTAAGATGAGTGGACTTCAACTCCCAGAATTCCCCAGCCAGCTATGCTATGCTGGCTAGGGAATTCTGGGAGTTGAAGTCCACACATCTTAAAGTTGCCAAGGATTAGATCAGTGTTTCTCAACCTTGGCAACTTTAAGATGAGTGGACTTCAACTCCCAGAATTCCCCAGCCAGCTATGCTATGCTGGCTAGGGAATTCTGGGAGTTGAAGTCCACACATCTTAAAGTTGCCAAGGTTGAGAAACACTGATTTAGATACTTACAATGAAGCAAAAAAACCCCATCTATTCAATATATCTTGGTATTGATTAAGGTAAAATCACAGCAGTTATGGAAAAGCTTGCTGGAACTCTTGCTGTTTATTTGCATTCCATCTTGAGGTTGCAGTTCTGAAATGTCATGAACTGGCAAGCATTTTTAGAGGCCATAGAATGACAATGGCTGACTCAAGATATCTAGTGCTAGTATAAAATCATCTTGCTGAATTTGTGCAAGCTTACCTAGCAGTCATAACGCTTAGTCCTATGCAGGCCCTTTCTCCAGCAGATCATGCAAACTACCTATACATCTGCAGGTAAACTAGCACAACGTTGTGCCTTTTTGAAATTAAGCATGTTCCTGGCCAATTTTAAGAAAGAAAGTTGATATAACTAATTCTTAAGTTCAAAGACGTACTAGGTTTATAAACATGGTTGTTTGGGTATTCTGATGATATGCATTCCTAGTTAAACATAGACAGAGTTTACACTATCACTAGAATGTGAAGATAAGTTATCTGTGTCAATTTCTTAGGCAGGTCTCACATAGGAAAACTACTCATGTCACCCAGTGGCTTATGAAAAACAGGACCTTTACGCAGAAATGGATCATAGATGGTCTGAGTGCCCTGTTTTTCCCTCCCCGCCCCTGGATGTACAAGCCAGTTTATATCAAGCTTGTGCCAACTGAAAGACAAATGTCTCAGTAGTAAAAGTAGCTATATTAAAATGTTTTACATGCTATTAATTGCCTGAGGGAAATTGAAGGAATAGGGAGGATTTTTATAATAGCTTAAGTTCCAGTTATACAAGCAAAAGGACCTTTGTTACTAGAGATTTACTCTAACCTCTAACTTGTAAAATGAAATTAAATCAGGCCTAAATATTGCAATGATAGCTAATTACCTTATCTGTTTTCATGAAGCCAAGAAGAAAGCTGATGGAATTAATGTATCTTGTAGCCCAAAAGCCTGGAGCAGGGTTTCTCAACCTTGGCCACTTTAAGATGTGTGGACTTCAACTCCCAGAACTCCCTAGGCAGCATGCTGGCTGGGGAATTCTGGGAGTTGAAGTCCACACATCTTAAAGTGGCCAAGGTTGAGAAACACTGGCTTGGAGAGGGAGCAGTTCTTTTTTAAGAGTGAACCTTTTGTGTCTAATTTGCCAGCCAGTAGATTGTTTTCCTGTTTCAGACATGTAGAGAAAAAATAGCTAAAAATAATTTAGAAATGTTTAACATAAATAGGAAATTCAATGGATTTGGAATGTCTCAGTCTAAGAAATGATTTGATCTATTTAAAATCAGTTCAAGAAAAGTTGTGTTGCTAGCTTAAGTATTTTTATTTTCGCTGCACAAACTCTACATGTTTGTATCTTCCATGTGATAGTGTTCTTTAAAATAGAACAATGATTTTAATGATCCCAACAAAGAGGGCCTTCACAACATGTTTAATAACTGAAATAATCCAGGTAGCCAAAGTAATAATTTCCATACAGATTTCTTAGTGATACAACAATCTCCACTGTATGGAAAGAGTACAATAGATACAGTACATTATGTTATTGCATTCAGATTTTGAAAACAGTCAATGGGACTATGGTGATGATAAATACTTGATTAAAATGCTGCCAGAATTTAACGGAATTGCTATTTGGGGTGGATCAAAAAGGAGGAAAATGTGACCCACAGACTTATTGTAGGGACTGGATTGAATTGTGCAATTTTAGTGTCAGAACCGAATGGTCTTTAAATTGTAGTGTGTCTTAATATGGTAAGCTGCATTTGGGGACTCACGTGCTCATTCTGCTGAGTGGGGCTTAAGCTTTTTCTCACTAGTTCTGAACTGGTGGCATAAGTGACTGGATCCTTGATTGAGGAGTATGCAAGTGGAAAAATTTGTTGAATATCTTTAAATTATGTCATTTGGGCTGGGTTGTCTTGGCATTGAGTTTCACACTGAATATTTATATTCCATCTTTTAATGACAGACTCAAACTCAAGATGCTTTGCAAATAAATAGTATAAATCAAAATGAAAATCAAAATAGTATAAATCAAAATGAACACCTCCAAAATGGCATTATAAGAATCATAAGAAAACAATAGCTAATGAAAAAAACTCAGTTATGAGTTGATTATTGGAATAAAAGTCTTATCACATGCAAAAGCAGATAAATAGATGTAGGTGATACCTGAGGAGTGATGAACATTTCATATTCCTTAATCTAGGGAAGAAAGTACAGTTACTAAGTTTGTCATCCCCTCCATACATTTTGGGTGTGGTTCTGCTACTATTTTAAAGCCACAGAACTTTATACAGCTTTTTGAAAATGAGAGCGGTTCAAATACAAACCAAATCTACAAAGCTTGATCAAGCTTTGGGATGGTATATCATTTCATAGCTAGGATGAATCAGTCAGATTTGGGAGCAGTAAATGCAATACACTTGGAGGCATCAGGCTGGGAGGGCTGCAATAAGTAGCTTTAAGGAATGTGCAGAAGACACAAAGGAAAAGTAGCAGAATTTGAGGTTGCAAGGAATGAGGGTATCCCAGGGTCATTTCTGAAGGGAGTTCCAACCATATAGGGTAGCCAGAAAAGTAAATTGAGGCAACTGGGCAGGAATTTTTCAGATAGTTGAGGGTGACAGAACTGAGCAGTTGAATGTTACAGGCTAGAATGTACTGTATGAGTGAAAGATGCAGCAAAGTTTTTAATGGCCTTAAGCACTATATATTGAGAATAAGATGGGATGCACATCTCGGTGATAAACAGATCAGTTTTGAAGAGATGAACAAGAAGGGCAGGTGAGTGCTTAATACTGACCTAGTAAAGCCCGCCCCCTTCCCCAGTAGGTGGTGGGTTGGCTAGCTGGCTTTATTAATAATTAATTCCATTATAGGCTTGATCTCCTAACATATGTTTCACTGTTTAAATCTTTGTCTCTGAGAAACAGGTGGCTCAAAATCATCCTCCCAAAGATGAAGGAATAGTAGCTGCACTCAAGGATGTAATTCAGAAGAGGCACAACGCAATACATGCTTCAGGTAGATGAAGACTTAAATTGCTCTACACACACACACACACACACCCCTAGCAAGAAGAAACGAAAACTGCCATGCGTGCTGGTTCTTTTAAAGAATCACAGATATGGCAACTGCCCTTGGAGGAAAGTAAATTGTCTCCCAAGAAATAACCAAATACATTTTCTGGACTGGCTATGTTTCCTTTTAATACTGGGTGTTCGTTCATTAGCTAATGAGAAATGTGTATGGCCTGTAAGGACTAATTTGATTTGCTCATTATTGGTTATTGATACAAACTTGGAAAACTCCATACATTTTGACAAACCTAATATCAACTATTTTGTTTCCTTAGAGTAGTAGCCAGGGCAGGTGTTATTGCCTGTTAGAAGGCCCAGATTCAATCCCTGGATCTCTAAAAAGGGCTGGAAAAACTCCATAGATCCATTGCCTGGCAGTGGCTGGGATTATGCATTGTGCTAAATTCCTATCTGCTTTAACTACAATGTGACCATTGGCTGGGTTGATACAAAACTAAGCCGTCAACATGATTTACAAGTGGTTGAGTTCTCCTCCTGTAGTAAACTTCAGTGTGAATCAACAAACTATGATATAGGGCTCTTATGCGTAGCAGCATAAAAAAAAGTTGTTTTCTCAATTTATTTGCTTTTCTCAAAGTACTTCAGCTTAACAAAATGCATCTTCTTATAAGTCTTATTTATTTCCATAAGATCTAATTGGTTACAGGCTGCCTTAATCTTTTGTTGTACTGTATATCCAGCATTGGCTTCTGCTTGTGTTTTGATTCTAATTGCTTCAAATTATTCAACAATATATCATGTTGTTTTGATGGCTTTATTTTTATTCACTGCCAAACAAATGAATAATTCTCTCAAATATTTTACTGGAATCCTATATTGTGAACAGTATGAAGAAACATCAAGCATTTCAATTTAAGCTTTATGTGAAGTAATAACAGGACGTTCAGTCTCTACCTTTTTGAGCCAAGTGTTCCTCTGTGCAGTTTTATAATCATTACTGCATAAGCAATTGCTGCAACTTCCACTTCTGTAAGTTTAGATAATGAATTAGACATCCAACACTTCTGTGTAAGAGGAAAATAGATACATTCTTTCTCTAAAGTTTATGTTTCCACACATACAGTGGGGCAAAAAAGTATTTAGTCAGCCACCAATTGTGCAACTTCTCCCACTTAAAAAGATGAGAGAGGCCTGTAATTTTCATCATAGGTATACCTCAACTATGAGAGACAAAATGAGAAAAAAAATCCAGAAAATCACATTGACTACTTCTTTAAGAGGCTCCTCTGTCCTCCACTTGTTACCTGTAGTAATGACTACTTCTTTAAGAGGCTCCTCTGTCCTCCACTTGTTACCTGTAGTAATGACTACTTCTTTAAGAGGCTCCTCTGTCCTCCACTTGTTACCTGTAGTAATGACTACTTCTTTAAGAGGCTCCTCTGTCCTCCACTTGTTACCTGTAGTAATGACTACTTCTTTAAGAGGCTCCTCTGTCCTCCACTTGTTACCTGTAGTAATGACTACTTCTTTAAGAGGCTCCTCTGTCCTCCACTTGTTACCTGTAGTAATGACTACTTCTTTAAGAGGCTCCTCTGTCCTCCACTTGTTACCTGTAGTAATGACTACTTCTTTAAGAGGCTCCTCTGTCCTCCACTTGTTACCTGTAGTAATGACTACTTCTTTAAGAGGCTCCTCTGTCCTCCACTTGTTACCTGTAGTAATGACTACTTCTTTAAGAGGCTCCTCTGTCCTCCACTTGTTACCTGTAGTAATGACTACTTCTTTAAGAGGCTCCTCTGTCCTCCACTTGTTACCTGTAGTAATGACTACTTCTTTAAGAGGCTCCTCTGTCCTCCACTTGTTACCTGTAGTAATGACTACTTCTTTAAGAGGCTCCTCTGTCCTCCACTTGTTACCTGTAGTAATGTTTTGTCTCTCATAGTTGAGGTATACCTATGATGAAAATTACAGGCCTCTCTCATCTTTTTAAGTGGGAGAACTTGCACAATTGGTGGCTGACTAAATACTTTTTTTGCCCCACTGTATATAAGAGTGATGACATTTAATCTACAACATTTTTTTGGCAGTTTGCCTGAATTTCTTTAGTATGAACCAGATTTACCAAGATCGGGGGAAAAGATCATATCTCTGAGAATCAAAACATCTCCTGTAATTTCAAGAAGTGATTGAAATTGCAAAAGGAGAATAAATTTACTGAGTATACTGTAGATTGAACCAACTGTGACTTTCCCTTGTTCAGCTTGAAACCATAATAATAATAATTTCCCTACTTCAACTTGAATGTTTTTCCCAGTTTCATGATAAGCTCTTGATATATATAACTATTTCATTTTTCTTCTTTCCACCAGAAGCCTGAATATTGACCTCAGTGTTTATATTTTGACAGATTAACCCTATTTTTTAAACATGTACCTCTTGAAGACATATATCTGCTTTTTTCCCTTTTTAAAAAAATTTCAGAAAGTACTTTTTCTTTTTAATGGGCTATTCAGTCCATCGGTGTTTCTTGAGAATATTTTAATTTATCCATGGTGTCAATTGATCAATTCAATTTATTCAAAGAGCTTTTGCTAATCTAATGTTTGATCTTCTGTTTGTTCTGAAATCTTTTTTATTCTATTACAAAGACTCAAGCATTGTCGTAGTGTCCTCTGCTGAACTACAAAGTCTGTCATCATTCATAAAACCTCTAGACAAAATGAAGTAGCCAACCTGTATTTAATTTTTCTTTCTTGGAAGCAAGATGTTAAAAATCTCATCTCTGTGTTCAGAGTATATCTGCAGGGTCATCTAGTAAAATCTCTATTATTGTATTTCCAAGCTTTAGAAGAATCGATTATTTTTTCTGAATCAACTTAGTTGTATTCCAATTTTTAAGTTTCAAATCAAGTTTCTGTTGTAACATATGCAATTCACTTATACATAAGTTTCTAATTTGTGATATTGTAGTAGAAACATCATCTCTTAACTCTTGCTGGTCTTCATTTGTTTTTGTCAAATTGTCATCTTTATTGCACCTCCTCTTATTCTTTTTTTTTTTTTAAATGAGAAACAGATTTATCCTTAAATACTTTTTCATGAAACAAGTTTGGGAAAAGGATAATATGTTAAGAACAAAATACTAATTGAATATAATAAATTCATCAAATATTCAATACAATATTTTAAAAAAGCACTTAAATGTTTAACAATGTATCATATTTAAGCAATTCAGTCCTAACATAGGACCCAGTTCTTTCTTTGGGACTCCATCTTAAGATGTCAGCTAAAGATGAATAGTCTTTCAACATAATCCAATAAGTTAAATGAAAACTTAAAATACAGTAAAATCAATAAAAATAGGATAAACCTAAAAGTATAAGGCAAGGTTGAGTAAATCCAAGTAGATTCACTATGAAAATCTAAATAATTTCTCTGTAGAGCAATATTCAAAATTTAAAATTATTGAAAGAAATACTTGAATACAGGAGCTTCCTCTTGTAGTTTCAAGTATAGATCCAGCAGGAATAGAGTCCCTGAATTATAGGATAGGATAGGATGATCTAAATAGCCTTGTAACTGGATTTTCCCCCTTCTACTGAACTGTGCAGCCTAAAGCTTCCCTAAACATATGTTTACAAGGCATACTTTTAGCTTAGTGTATGTCTACCCCTCTCCCCCACAAATTCTGTGCTTGCCTCATTATGGCGGAGGTGGGGGGAGGGGTTAGTGAAGAACGCTAGGAATATATGCCAAGAGTATATATTCCCAGCAGGGTCACCTAAGGTGTGAAGGTCATCCCAGCTGTCCAGCCAAAGCAAGCAGGCACCTATATCGGGCAGCAGAAATATATGAAGATGCTGAAGGCAGATGACTGCTTTAGTGACAATGGCAAAGGCGTCAACTCACACTGTGTGGGAGAAGGCAATGGTAAATATGCTAACAGAGCTTTGGATCTTTCAGGGTACTAATGGTATTTGACATAGCTAGATTAAAGCCTTCAGGACATCTAGTTGCTGATGTTGCCATACAGGAAAAGAAAATCTGAAGCTGCAAAGACAGAAATGCTGAAGGCAGATGACTGCTTTAGTGACAATGGCAAAGGCGTCAACGCACACTGTGTGGGCGAAGGCAATGGTAAATATGCTAACAGAGCTTTGGATCTTTCAGGGTACTAATGGTATTTGACATAGCTAGATTAAAGCCTTCAGGACATCTAGTTGCTGATGTTGCCATACAGGAAAAGAAAATCTGAAGCTGCAAAGACAGAATTACAGTGGGAACATGGAGTGTAGGAAGAATGAACACAGGAAAGCTCAACTCAGTGAAAGATGAAACGATTACAAACTGACATCTTAGGCATCAGTGAATTGAGATGGACTCATGATCAAGTTCAATTTGAAATTGACCGAACATGCAAGCAAGACGTGCTGCTTGTGACTGGAGACGGGAATGCCAAAGTTGGAAATATTAAGGAGGAAAATGAGGTTGGATTCTGTGGCTTAGGAAACCAAAATGAAGCAGGGGAATGACTTATCAATTTCTGCCACTCCAATTATTTCTTCATAGCTAATACTGTCTTCAAGCAGTCAAAACAATCCCTCTATACATGTATATCACCAAATGGAGTACATAGAAATCAAATTGATTCTATTATTGCTAAGGGGAGGTAGAAGAGAGCTAGTTATAGCATTAACGACATGGCCAGGTGCTGACTGAGAAACAGATCATGAACTGCTTATGTGAAAGTTCGAGGAAGAGGAGGTGGTGGTGGTTGTTTTCACAATGGGATCTTGAGCATATATCCTCCATTTTCAAGGAAAATCTCAGGCATTATTTTGATAATCTCATTGATAGAGAACCAGAGGAACTATGGGATGAACTTTAAAGAAGTTAAGGATTAATGTGAAAAGAGACTGCCAAAGATGAAAAAAACAGAAAGAAAATTGGATGTCAGAACAAACTCTGGAAATTGCCATATAAAGAAGAGCAGCCACAGCCTAGGAAGACAAATATCTACGGAAGAAATTTCATTAAGAGTTTCGGAGAGCTTTTAGAAGAGACAAGTAGTGGTATTACAACATCTGTAAAAACAGTGAAGATGGAAACAGACATGGAAAAACAAGGAAAGTCTTCCAAATGATTTTCAAACTCCGAGGTTCCAATCTTGAATTGCTATGCTAAAGGTGGCCAATGGACAGATAGTAACTGATTCAAAGAAGAACAAAGATGGAATTAGTATACTTAAATACTGTATAGTAGATATCAACATCCAAGGTACCTTAGATGTTATTCCCTTCTTTTAAGAATCTCTAGTACTAGAAGATGAAGCTACAGCATTCTAGTACTTATCAAGTCAGAAGGCTATAGGTGCTGATGGAATATCCACAGAAATATGGCAAGGAACAGAAGAAGAATCAGTAAAATTCTAACCAAGCTATGCCATCAAATCTGGAGAATGACACAGTGGCCAACAGATTGGAAAAGGTCAATCTACATTCCACTACCCCAAAATGGAGACTTAATAGAGTTTGCAAACTATTGTATTATATCCTTAATTTCACATGCTAACAAATAGAACTTAGAACCATCCAATGCAGATTAGAGCACTACATGGAAAAAGAGATGCCAGATGTTTAAGCTGGCTTTAGAAAAAGCTGAAGAACACAAAACATTATTGTCGATGCATGCTGGATAATTGAGAAAGCCAAAAAATACCAAAAATATGTCAGTATGTGCTTTATTGACACAATTGAAGGTCTTCCTATAATCACTCATGTCAAACTGTGGAATGTGCTTAGAAAGATGGGAACCCCAGAACATCTCATTGTCCTCATATGAAATCTATATATATGTCAGCAAGCCACAGTATGGACAGAACATGGCTCCAGATTGGCAAGAGAGTGAGACAAGGTTGTCTACTCTCCCCTTATTTATTCAACCTATATGCTGAATATGTATTAAGGGAAGATGGATTGGAAGGTCAGCATGGTTTTATAACTGGAGGGAGAAATATCAATAACCTGCGCTATGCTGTTGACACTACTGAGAGCTAAAAATGCAAAGTATCTGCAAGCTCTAGTGATAAAAGTCAAGCAGCACAGTAAAAAAATGGGACTAAAATTAAATATAAAGAAGACTAGACTAATGACAACAGGTGCAACAACCATCCACAATAAAAATATCACAGTGGTAGATAGCTTCTACCTTTTAGGATCAACCATCAACAGTAAAGGAACAAGCAGTCAAGAAATATCTGCAACTAGTATTTGGTAGAGTAGCCATGAAGGCCTTGGAAAAGATATTCAGATGCTTCTATACTACAAAGATCAGAAGAGTTCAAGTAATGGTGTTTCCTGAGACACTCCATAAAGTGAAAGTTGGACTGTGAAAAAGGATAGAAAGGGTATTGGCGCTTTTGAACTTTGCTGTTGGAGAAGACTCTTGAGAATATAATGGACAGCCAAGAAAACAAACAATGGATCATTGAACAAATCAACCCAAGTCCTAACTTAAAGCCTAAATCACTAGGCTCAAGTTATCATACTTCAGACATATTATGTGAAGACCTAGTTTTTTTGGAGAAGGCTGTAATACTGGGAAAGGTGAAAGAGAAGACAAAGGCAACCAGCAGGAAGATGGACTCAGTTACTGTGGTGATGGGTGTACTGTTGAAAGACCTGAAGGACCAGGTTATGGACAGATTGTCAGAGAGAAAATCTGTGTGGCTGCTAAGAGTTGATGCTGACTTGATGGCACATAATCAGTGTTGACCACCTGTGTTTCAAAATACTTTAACACCTACTATTTAGAATCCAAAAAGGGCTTAAAGTTACTGGCCAGCAATTTCCCTCAGTCAGTCTGTCAACTGGCTTTTCTTTGGCTGGTAAAACTTTATCTTCTGTCATCTGTACAGAGTAGACCAGATCCCACAGCTTCATCTCTTTAGGTCCTTGGCAATCTTACCTGGGCTTGTCCAGTTCTGCTTCGTGGTCCTCAGGCTACACTCCTACTAGCAAGCCTTCAACCCAGTTATCAGTTTACCAACCACCATTGGTTTTTAACTACCAGCATCCATCTTAGATCTTAATTGCCAGCCATTATGCACCTCTCAGATTCTCACCCCGTCCCCTTTTCCCGAGTTCCCTAGTAATTTAAAGAGTCCACCTTTGATGCCAATGCAATAACCCTTCCTCTTTCTGTGGAAACATTTTCCTATGAGAAACTAAACTACAGTATACCTAATATCAGCCTTTCCAAGCACAAAGCATTGGCTTTGGTTTCTGCATAAGTATGTGAACAGCCAGCAGGAAGCCGTGGCTGAATGCAGGCTGACTCCTGAAACATCTCCAACTGGCAGGTTGTGTGGAAGAGTCTGAAGTATCATAATTTGATGTTCTTGATTCTAGCTAAGAGGCTAATTGAAATTTGTTAGATGATAGCACATTACTCTGCTTAGTTGTTGGGGAACACTGGTAAAGTGAAATGGAGAGCTTTATGTGCTAGATAATCTCTATCCAGTGCCCACTGAGCTAGCTTATTGCTCTCAGATTTGGTGCAGAATATTGTCTTATCAGGTTAAGGTCAAAACAGTCAAGATGGCAACCATGATGGTGTTACAGAAGGGCCATCTGTTTTTTATGTGCAATGCTTTGATCATACTGTCATGGCTGCCATCTTGACTTTTTTGACCTCACCCTGTGGTCAAAAAGATAAAATTGCCAGTCTGGACAGCTTTTGCACATGAATGTGGAGAATATTCCATCTGATCTTTTCCCTCAGGTAGCAAAATGTCTTCAATCACACCTGCCGAATAAAATGAAAAAACCCCCAAACTTTTGAATTCTTTTAAATGTGGTGCATGTGTTACAGAAACTTTGGATTATAGAATGCACATAATGGAAATGTTTTTAACCTAAACAGTTAGAATATATATTTTCAAAATATGTGGGGGTTTTACAATAATTTATTTGTTACTACTTCTGTTGGGTAGAGCATCTAAGTACTTCCTCTAATACTTGATAAAACATGTTTTGTGTGTTGGGAAGGGTTCCTTCATTCCATTTAAGAATATGTACTGATACAGATTTCATTCAAAAATTGATCTCATCCTCCTCCCTTGCTTGATAAAGAATTCTCCCTTGAAATTCAGAAATTTGCAGCTAAAACTTTATTTGACCAAATACTGTAAAGGTACTACCTCTGTGGAGGTTTGATATCAAAATATTACTGTTTTTCTTAGGAGCTTGCTATCTTTCCCTCAATGTCACATGGAACAATTCATTCCTTTGAAGTTGTTTTTAAGCATGTTTGGTAAATAAACTGCATTTCTAAGTTTTATCAGTGAAGTGATCTTGACATCCTTGAGACACTTATGCTAAATGTTTAGGCTACTTTTTATTTTGATGGAATGAATTAAACCTAGTATTTATTTATTACATTTATATGCTGCCCATCTCCCCCAGAGGGTGACTCTGGGTGGCTTACAATTAAAATCTGAAACGATAAAAACAATAAAAACATAGATATCCATATTAAAATAACTAATAACAATTCTATATAAAAAGCCTATATACAATTCAAGATGATGGGTGGGGGAGCAGTATATTCCATTTATATTTCAATTTTAAGAACTAAAGATGTTCACACAATATATTAAGCTAATATATGGTGCTAATAATGAGGAAATGATTTACCCGTTGATCTTACAGAAGACAAAATAGTAACTGAGGCCAGGTCTATATTGCTGGTTTGCAGTAGTTAGCTGGCTGATGTTCCCGCTCCTTTTTTTCTGTTTTGATAGATAAAAAAAAAAGTTAGGCAGTGATAAACCTCAGACTGATTCTTTCTTCTAGATCTATATTTAAAGTGAGTAAACTTTAGGAAACTATAATTAGGATACTCTGCCTTACCACAATTTGTCCCAAAGTCCAGATTCAAATGACACACTAGGTCTCTAACAACAAACTGGCTGAGTGCATTATGCAAACACATTTATCACTTCTTAAGGGGATGGTGCAGAGAATTTTCTGTAGTCAATTTTTCACTAGTTCTTAAAGTTGTTTTATAGAACTGTTAATTAACCCCATTAATATGAAATTGGAGTGGGCTGATAGAAGCAGAGATGAAATTGAGGAAGTATCAATAATTGGGTGGAGGGTGGGGAAAACATTGACAAACCCCAGAGAACAATAACTCAGGAGCTATAGAATGTTGAATGTCAGCTGGGGAGAAAAATGTCCTTGTGAGAGTTTATAGCATCCTGTAGGAGGTCATGGCCAATTGTCTAGCTGGAATTTTGAGAGAACTCCTGTTAGGAGATGAATTGCCAGCATTTTCATTCAGAGACTGCAACATTGGAGTTTCTAGTAATCCCCTACTTGCATGTTTTGCAACTCATCTAGGCACATAAAATTTGTATTCCTTATTTTGCAGCCTAGTTTTTTTACACTTCTTGTAAGACAAAATTAAATACAGAGAAGCATGGATGAGAGTACATTGTCTATTTTTTTTTAAAAAAACTTCTAATATTTATAATAATGGCTTAAGTGAATAAAAGTGCCTCCATCTTTGATCTTTTCTTCCAGGTAATGAAGAGTTTGAATCTGACTTGGAGAATGAAGAGGAATGGGATGAATAAAGTAGTGCTGTCAGAAGAAGCACTACTTGATCTTTCTACTGTTGTATTTATAGCTTGACCTTTTAACATGCCAATAAATATTTTTTAGAAAACTTATTTTTCCATTAACTGAGCTATATTAAATATTAATTTAATTTAAAATGCCAAAGACTAGAAACAATCTTTTAATCGTTTGTCATTTGTAAATTTATAGTCTCCTTTAATCCATGGACTCAAAATGGGCTGATATACACAAACCCCTTATGCCCAACTATGAGTATAAATCACACAAACAAGTACTGAAGGGGCTTTTGCAAAAGGATTGAAAAATGCTAAACAGCATAAATTCTTTAATATTTCAGAACAGACAAGGAATCACAGAAGGAATCCACACGAGTCCATTTTGAGCACAGGTTTAGAGAAGTTTGTGTAAAATGGAATTGAGGTTTTTTTGAACTGTGGCTATTACAATATTTCAACTCTCCCAATTGTATAATTGCTTCCATTCCTGTGTTTAGATCCTGTCTCTTTGATTCCTACATTTTTGGGATAAGCCCAACCTGTTCTTCCCTACAATATTGCACGGCATTGCCTCTATTTCCTCCCCTCTGGTGGCAAGAGAACAAGGTAGAACTTTGCAAGAGGGCGGATGGGCCTGATTGCTCTACGTTCATACCCTGCCTCCCTAGAGTTTCCTTTTACAGGAAGTGTTCAGTGATTTTTGGTGGGGGCTATGAGAGTCTTACCCTATTTGGGTTGGGGTCTCAGCACATCTGGAAGATACCAGATTGGGAAACAGAAAAGATAAAATTAGGAAGAGAATGTGGGTCGGTTTCAGGAAGAGAACAGATCAGCCCAGCAGTAGCTCCTGGAGATGCAGTACAGCAATGACAATGATGCATACTGCCAATGATGATATTGTCCATGTACCCCTTAACTCCATTGCACCTGCGTGGGTCTATGCCAGCTTCTCCCCCAACTTCTGCTGGCTTCCCAAACTCTGCCATCCTCCTACTAGGTTGGGCATGGCTGGATCAGTCATGTTTTTGGAAGAAGACCTCAATCAGTATGGCAAAAGTAGAAACTACAGAAGCTGTGATACAGCATGCATTTGGCAAAGAATAAAATATTATTTTGCTAGTTCCTCCATTGTAGAAACCATGAAGATGATTTTTTGGCTTGTCAGATTGATTAATAAATTTGTTTCAATGTCATACATATTTATGTATATTAATAGGGAAAGAGATGGTTCCAGTATTGGAACAAAGACAAAAGTGATAAAATGTACAAGTTGTGAAAGGATGAGAGCTTTCAATTTTGGCACTGAGTTTGGAATGCTGTCTGCAGGAACATCCCCAATCTTTTTGAGCATGTTTGGAAGAGCACTGGCGTAGGAGGTTTGGCCAGACACAAAACATGCAGGTGCCAGAAGACAAATTGATGAGGTTGAAAGTAACTTGACCAAGCCAAAGGTGGAACCTGAAGCCCAAATACTAAATCATGTATTTGCCCCCCACAAATGCAACAAAATGGCTATTTCATAAAAGGCCAACTGGTGATGCTCAAAAACATGTGAATAGGCAAATGTGCACCAAATCTCTCATTCCCCACTTTGCCCTTCAAGATACTCCCACTTCTATTTCTATAATGTTCTTTTTCATCTCCCAACTAACCTTGATCTTTTTTTCAGGGCAAACAGTGCTTTTTTAAACAAACCACTGAATACGTCATTTTTATTTTCTAAGAATGCATGTGTGCCAGTTAATGGATATGAAATATAGGCAGCCATATCGGTGCATGCAGAGCTATATGAAATTCACAATGGTTCTAATGCATCCTATTTCTCCTGAACTTGCATTTTTAAAAAATCACAGCTCATACACTGCTTGTTTTTTGAAAGTAACAGATACTCCACTATATTCACTGAAATGTACAGATTAAACAGCAGTAGCAGCAGCAGGTTCAATAAATAAGTTTGCATACATTTGACCAAGTTTGTTCCTTCGATCAAGGAGTGATATCAGAATCCTGGAAACGTGCCTCCTGTGTTGTGGGCCTGTCCTCTGGAATAAGGTTCCCCCAAGATCTGGGTGGCTCCTACCTTAATGTCATTCTGGAGGGCCTTAAAGATCTGGCTCTTCTTCCAGGCTTTGGAGAAAAGGGTGGTTGGAACTTCTTGCAGGGTGTCTGTATGTTGCTGTTGACTGGATTCTTCATCTTGTTCATTGTTTTTTTATCTGGATTGTGTTTGTTGTTTGTTTTTATTCTGTGAGCTGCCCAGAGTTGATTGGAACTGAGTGGTGTCCAAGTCAAATACAGACACACACAGACACAGAAGCTGTCTGGTGTAGTGGTTAAAGACATTGGTTAAAGACAAAGACTAGAAACTGGGGACTGTGAGTTCTAATCCTGCCTTAGGCACAAAGCCAGCTGGATGACTTTGGGCTAGTCACTCTCTCTTAGCCCTAGGAAGCCTCTCTTAGCCCTAGGAAGAAGAAGGCAAAGGCAAACCACTTCTGAAAATGTTACCAAGAAAACTGAAGGGACTTCATGTTATTGCCAGGAGTCAACACACATGCGCATGCACACACACACACAAGAACATATGCAGATGGAATAAGCATGTCTTCCATTTTAAGTCACACATACTAGTTTTTCCACTAAAATAAAATATTTTACAGACAATAAATCCAGAGTTCTTCATACTTTGATAGGTTGCAGATTTTCAGAATATAATTCAACATTGCATTCACCTCTTCATTCCTTATTTTCTGAGCACTCAATTTACAACAGTATGAAACCAAAATGGTGTCAATGTAGAGCAAGGCCAAAACATATGGGTCAGAGTCCCTTTTGACATACTCAGTCTCCAACATAAAGAGGATGAAACCCAACTGTCACTGTACATCTTCAAAGATATCCAATATACTTGAAATATAACATGAATTAATCTAATCTTAAAGCCATATTATAACAATTCAACATTTGTTAAGTCCCCAAACCAGTGTCTTGTTAAAATGGGATATTATAACTCATTATTCCAAATTACCTGCAAAATACTCATACCTATTTTAATACAACTTTTCAATTGTAAATAAACATTAATTACAGGTTTAGAAACTTCAAAAACTTTACTAATGTTAATAGTTCAGGAACTTCAGATGCAGCTTGTGCATCTGGCTGAAATTTTAGAGTCAAGATATGCTTTAATTGCATGAGTTGTCAGTGATCATTCCTAATTGTTCTGCAAACCATCAGTCTTCAAAAGCTGATTAGCAATAATCTGATCTAAAGGGCTTTTTTTAAAATCATGAACTCTAAAAAAGTGGTTTGCCAGCAGTCTTAAGAGTTGGATTATTCCATAATGTTGACTTCTCATTACATTTTGGATCAAATTTAAATCTTCTTCTCAACATCATATGAAAATTGTCATTTTCATATGATGTTGAGAAGATTTAAATTTGATAAATTTGATGTTTAAAAAGCACTTTTTAAAAATCTGAAATCTTCATCAATATCTTACCATACTGTTTAAAATAGTTCATAGGTATTACTATAAGAAACCCTTAAGATAGGTATCAACCTTGGCATATTGTTCATTTTAACAACATGTATTTTCCCCCATAAGATCATGGGGATTTTTAACCATCTATTTATAAAACTACATAAAGTCTTCTGGCCCTATTCCAGATTTCATCTAGTTGGACCAAAGAACAGCCTGCTCTTGTATTACTTCCTTGCTTATGATTAGGTAAAAGCCCATTTTTCTTAGTTTGCCTTGATTGCCACCTTGTTAACTATTGCAGTGGGACTTCTCTGAGTCAGTGGGCAAAGATGTGCTCCTTACAATAGGGAAATCTTATTTCCCCCAGATATTTTGGTTTACAACCCACACAGTAATTGACAGTTTTTTACATTGGTTAGAGTTTTATAGACCCAAACTCTGGTTCCCCACTCCTGCAGGGAAGTGTCCCCTTTAAGAAGGGTGGTCCTGACAGAAGTGTGATGTTGTTTTTATTATATCCAGATGTTTTCTTTTAGAATCATGAAAAGTCTCCTTATACCGGATCAGATCATTGGTCCGTTACTTCAGTATGGTTCACACTGATTGGAGACTCTCCAGATTTCAACAAGGTTTTTCCATCCCCAGCTTCTCCAAGCATCACTTTTGCAAAGCAGGTTCTTTGTCGTCGAAGTACATGCATTTCCAGTTTAGAGCATTCTGATCTAATTGTTGCAGACATATAACCAAGCGACGCGAGTCTCCGCCGTGCCGAAGCGGGCTGTGTGCGCGCGCATCCCCATCACCAGGTTTGAAGCTGACCTCTACACGCTTAGCCGACTATCGGATCGTAACTTCCAAGCTTTTTCATGTCGGACAACACACACAAAAAGCCCAAATCGTTTGCTTTTGCTGAGTGGAAGGCGGAAACCCTGGAAACGGCCCTTAAAGCCTTTAACCACATCGACGCGCCGGAGACGGATGGAGAAAAGCCTCTGATTCGTGTGCGTCAAGGTGGGTGAGGCGAGATTCACGTGTGAATACCTTACGCCTCCGACTCACCGCCGAGGGAGGCGAAAGACGAACTGACCTGGAGCGTCGGCCGCCCTCCTTCCTCTTAGCGACACACGAGGCGTTTCGGGACAGAAGGAGGCAGCGAGGACGGCAGCGGCTCTCTCCGCCCGCTTCTCCGCCCCTCGCCGCTTCTCTCCAACCAGCTCGCACCAGCGGCTGGAGTGCGCACGCCCCCTTTCTCCGCGGCGAGGAGCGGGAGACCCTCCGGTGGGGCTTTGCGCCCTCAGCAGGATGCTCCTGCGGCCGCCGCCAAGGAGCCTTCCCCGCCAGAGGTCGGCGTAGCGACCGGGCTTCCCCTTGCCCGCGCACTTCTGCGGGCTCGGGCTGCGAGCGCGCGGTCGCCTTTCGC